AGAAGGGTAAAAAACGGATAAAATATATTTTCTGTGAGTTTAAATGGTCAAACACTGGTCAGAAAAAAGGATTTTCTAATTATGCGAACATAGGAGATTTTCGTAATTGTGCTTCGCTTCAGGGTTTTTTGTTTTTGTAATTTGCCTGATATTAAAAAAATTTATTTATTTTGTATTGGTTAGTGAGACATCGAGGACCTTCGCGAAGACGGTTGCAGAGCTAGAAAAACTGGTGATCAAAATGCTATTCGAGAGCTACGGTCCGCAGCACTTCGAATCGCATATAGAAGCAAAGACATATATTCTCAGATTCTTAAAATATCGAGCACTCTAAGAGCCGAAGAGGGAGAAAGTAAAATGGCTTTTCCCTCCCACACAGACAAAAGCTTTGTCACCCTACTTTTCCATATATATATATATATATATATATATATATATATATATATATATATATATATATATATATATATATATATATATATATATATATATATATATATATATATATATATATATATATATATATATATATATATATATATATATATATATAATCATGTATATATCGAATTGAATTCGTTCCCGTTATATCGAATTGCTAAAAAAATTTTGTGTTATAAATATTACAAAAGAGCACCCTTAATTATGATGCATTTTTTTTCTTCAGTTTTTAGGGAGTATTTGCTAATAAAAAAGAATCGGATGGGTGGTTTTGCTAATATTTGTAAGTTATAACACGTCGATCTTTGAGTAAACACAGGGTGATGAATGCAATTAACCTCTATTATTAGGGGTGGAAATTGGAACGAAAATTCCTATTTCTGCAAACTGGTCCGAATTTTTCAATTTGGGAACAAAAAGTTTAAACTCCGTCCAATTTTTCCCAAACTTTTCAGATCGGAATCGGAATACATATGAGATTTCGATTTCGATTTCCATCCAATTCAAATTTCCAAAATAATTTTGAAAATTCCAAAAAAAATTTTCTGAAAAATAAACTTATAATACTAAAATTATTATGTAAGTTATATGTTTAGGTTACGAAAAATTTGTATTTTCCAAACTCCGCCGATTCCGATTCGATTTTTTCTTTCTTTCTTTCTTTTTTTTAAAAAAAAAATTTGGAACAAGTTTTTTCATTCAAATTTCCGAAATTCCCATTTTCAATTTTGTTTTTTGGAACAGAATTGGACTAGTTTTAAATTTCTGAAAATAATCTGATTTTTTTCTCCAAAAGTGCTAATTGCGATCCGATCTGTCCGATTTCCACCCATAAACCTTATTAATAATTATGTACATTATTTTGATGGAACAATGTACATATAGTTATTAACATTGCTAATTATTTTTTATTGTTTGGTAATTAATGAGGCATGGAGTAACAACAAGGTGCTTTCTCCAAACCACAAAGTAACATTGCACAAGAATGGAATTAAAGAGACAAGATACACAATTGCCCTATTCTCTTTCCTCAGCAAGATGGTTAAAGTGCCAGAGGAGTTTGTCGACGACGATGAAAATCCGTTGCAATTCAAGCCGTTTGTTCACGTCGATTTGTTGAAGTTTTACGACACGGATCACGGCCGAAGATCTCAGAACATACTTAAAGATTTCTGTGGTGTTTGAATGAATTTTATGTTTATTATATTTTTAGTTTATATGTATGTGTGTGTGTGTGTGTGTGTGTGTGTGTGTGTGTGTGTGTGTGTGTGTGTGAAGGGACTGAAAATATAATTAAGGAATAATGTATGTCTTGTGTAATATAATATTTATGGGTTTTTTATAAGCGGCACCCCTGTGGTAGATCTAATTATAAAAAATGTGCCCGTATTAAAAATATTAGCATCTACCTCCCTGTGTTCTTTAGTCAAAGCCAACAAAGCGTCGATAAGCATATCGCGTAATTCACTCGCGGCTTGCGTGAGTATTTCTTCGATTTTGCTTGTGAAATGACATAAATACCCTCTTGCAAATCAATATAAACTCAAGGGTAAATTACGACCACTCTGTGAGGTATGGTCGAATTACGAAAAAACCCTTATGTTTGGATAATTACAATCACTCCTCAACTATAAATCTTCTTAAACGTCCATCCTTGCGGTGTCAAATTTAGTGGAATCTTCTAGCTTATATGGAATATTCAACATGTGTTTTTTGGCTTGTATATATCAGATTGTGGTGCATCAGAAACTGCATTTTTGCACAAAACGAGTACAAACTAGAGAACATTCCATATAACCTAGAAGATTATGTTGAATTTGACACCATAACGGTAAACGTGTAAGAAGATTCATAATTGAGGGTAGTTATAATTATCCAAACATGAAGTGTTTTTTTTGTAATTCGACCATACCTCAGGGATGATTGTAATTTACTGTAAACTCAATGAAGTTTGATTTTAAATAAACCCCTAATTTACATAAGATCCTCAATTCTCCCCCTTCCTTCACCGGCTCCATGTTCATGCTCCTCCAAATAACTGTAGCCGGCGGCCACACCGCAACATCACCACCACCAGAGCCGGAGAACCATCACAAACACAAAACAACACCACAGGGCAGCGAAAAGAGGCTAGTACAGAACCCTTACCAAATCAGATCTGAATAACAAACAAGGAAGCCCGATTTTAAGTCATTAGGGGTAGGCTAAAAACATGCAACATATTCGACAATTCTCTGGCGGAATTAATTGATAATTTTTTTACTCAGAACTTATTCGACAATTAGACATTACACAAGGGCTCTGTGCAATTAACTCTACTATGTATTGCGTGTTCTTTCGTATCAACTTCTTGAAAATTTGTGTCAATGTGACCCTTGCTGTTAGTTGTCAGACTTTTGGCCTTAGCACCGTTCGGTCTAAACTCTGAAATTACAAAAACGCGACGCTTCACAGTTTAAATAATTATTACAAAACAAAAATGAATAAAAAAACAAAAAAGAATTAAAAAAACAAAAAAATAATAATAATAAATTCAGAACACGAGAAAGCATAGTCCACGACGGCAGCCATAATTTTTTTTAATAATTTTTTAAACTGGGAGGGGTGGTTTGTTTGTAATTTTCAGACTTAGATCAAACTGTGTTAAGGTAAAAGTTCTGAAAACTAACGCGATGGCCGCATTTAAGCCAATTATTCAAGTACACGGGGGCAAATCGATGCAATCAAGAGTAAAACGGGATAAAGTTATATCAAGCCAAAGTACAAGGGGGAAAGTGGAATTTACCCTATAATCTTTATACTAAGAATTAGGCAAAATCTCACTACTGGTCCATCATCTTGATATTTAGTTCCATTTTAGTCCTTCATTTAACAGTTGTATCATTTTCATCCTTCATTTTTACGATCCATCTCATTACAATTTCTTGGTATAAAAGATGATTAACTTATGAAAAAAATAATAAAATATATATTATTTACTAACGGAATTTCTTTAAGATTCGATGGAATATTCTTTGTTAATATTTTTTAATATTATGAAAACAAAAAATTAATTTAAAATTTTAAAAATAATATTATTGGCTTCAAGAAGCATATGAATTTTGTGAAAGCCAATTCCAATAGGGACATATATATAGCTTAGATATATACGAGAGTGTAGGTTTACGCAGTGCACCTATATTTATGTTCAAATTTATATATATAGCTTGATGAATGTATGATACTTAACTCACTTATTTTCATTTTCATTTAAGTAAAAATATTATTAATTTCCCTGTGCCAATCATTATAATTCCTATTTTTATATTTCAATATGGAAAAACAAAATCCAATATCTAGATGACAATATGATATTACCAAAAACTATTGTCATACAATTGGCCAAAAAAAGAATTATATATAAATAATAACCTCTCATTATTGTTTTCCTTGTTACCAATAATGCATGATCAAAGAGGGGACCAAAATTTGTAAGATAAAATAGTGTTATATTTAATTTGTGAAATGTAGTAGGTTAATATATAAACATCAAAATATATATTTTATTAACATGTCACCTCCCAATTAATACTTAAATTATTTACATATAATTCTTATTCATATATCATGAAAAAGAAATCCAATGCTACATGACAATATGATCTTAACAAAAAAATTGTGATACTTGTCTAAGAAAGAATAAATTAAAAAAAAACCTCTCAAACCATTATTGTGTTGTCATATTTGTTCTTACCTTAAATTTAAATGCGACTAGCTAATGATCGACAACATTTGGTCCATTCAATATTATTTTGCTCGTCACGAATTACGTAATTATTAAGAGGGGACCGAAAAACGTAACCGTAGAAGATGGTTGAATCTCGATAAACTAATGTTAAAAGTACTAATTACACATCATCTTCTTACGTTAATCGCTAATTGGTTTGACATTAACGAAGTTATTGTCATACTTTGTCATGAAAGAAACCCATAGAATGAATCGATTTGTCTAATATAATAATGTACAATTTGGATTTATTTTATTTGCAATTGAAGCTAAGGGGACCAATATTGATAAGGATTTATTTTTTTAGTTATCTTATTTGGTTGATTAGACTAGATGAATTGACATATAATTTAAGGGAAAATATAAATAAATAAATAAATAAAAAAAAAAATCAAAACCTCTCAATAATTTATGTTACGAGGGAAAAATTATAGTTTTCATCCCTCAAGTTTGCATGTTTTCAAAATACATTTGATTCCTCATGTTTCAATAATTTAACACTTTTGGTCTTCTCCGCCAATCACCGTTAGTCCGTCAATTAAGGTAGTCATGTTTCAATAATTTAACACTTTTGGTCTTCTCCGTCAATTCACCGTTAGTCTGTCAATTAAGGTAGTGGTGGACACATGCTTGATTCCGTTAGTTTTAACAGAAACTTGACGAAAAAGACTAAAAATGTTGAATTTTTCAAACATAAGAAGAGACCGAATGTGTTTTTCGTTAAATTCGGGGACCAAATGTGAAATCAGTGCAAACTTGAGGGATGAAAACTGTATTTCTCTCTTAATAACCATGTATCTTGAAATTAATTTTGGAAACAAATTACTCTGGTGTATTTCGCCAATGTAACATCTGCAGAACCTCATTTTCGTACGGTCTCATCCACCAACCGTATCATTAGTGATGTCAGAATTTAGTTTCAAAATAATCTTGATTAAGACTCAATTTGGTCCCTCCCCTATTTGGCACTTGGTCTCGATTAAGACAATTTGGAGGATCGATCCAATCATCATTTCATATAAGAATTAACTAATTAAAACTAAAACTAACCAAATCTCTAATTATATATATTTTTTAAATTGTCGTTAGAAATAGGGTCAAATAGCTCTTGACTAGGATCCTAGTGTACCTAATAAAACACCACGAATATCTTCGTGTCACAGTCTATGATCTGCTACACCTGGTGAAAAACACTGAGTAATTTTGCACCATAAGCTATACAAATAAATAATAACTACCCACTAAGCGCACACACATAAATGTGTGTAATTATGTGTATATCAATAGTGTAGGATTACCGATATATTTCACCAAGTGTAGCATCTACAAAACTTTCGTTCCTTATCATTCAAAATTTGATCCACATTATTATTTCCATGTGGCTAATTATTGTTAATTAAGTAAACCCGTGATGGCCCGTGAAATTAAAGAAAAATAGGAAAAGTACAAAAATATACCTCTCAAATAATCTAAATTTTTGGACCACCTTTGCATCATGATATAATTAACAAATATTCTCTCAATTATTATTAGAGTTTTTAGCACTAACCGTCCCTGTGTAATCTCTATTTGCCATAAAAATCCATGTATTAAAAATATTAGCAAATACCCCCTTATAAAAGTTAGTCAAAGTCAACAAGGTCCATGCGAATTGATCGTGCAATACACTCGCCACAAATGCGGCTGGGGGTTGATTTTTTGACTGAAAAGTCTGGAATACCCTTTTTAAATTAATTTTTTTGCAAATAAACCCCAAAATGAAGTTTTTAAAATTTTCAATTCAGTAATTTCCATTTTCAAAAGGCCCTCTTCTTCCTTAAGTCAAGGGCTGATTTGTAATTTTCCTAAAATACACTAACATAGCTGAGCCACCGCTCTCCTTCAAGAAAACACCTCTCCAGCCTCACCTTCCTCTGTACCCTCAGCCTCCGCTTCAACCATATCCCCCTTCCGCACCACCACTCCAACATTTTCTCCGACGAAATTCGATTCGGTTTGGAGCTTTTCCGCCCATGTTTTAGAGCTTTTTAACCACACCAAATCGGTGTTCAGGGAGAGCGCAAGGCTGAAGAGGGTTTCCTTCTTGTTTTTTTTTTTTCATTTATTTTATTTAAAATTAAATTATTGTTTAGTATTTATTAGGATAGTTTTGTCATTTGACGTAAGTCAACAAACAATTTTGAAGTAAGGGGCAGTGTGCCTTGCAAAACATAATATAGAGGGTTATTGATAATTTGCTGAACACGAGAATTTTTTTGGCAATTAGAGATTACACAGAGCTGGTTGGTGCTAAAAAAACTCTTATTATTATTAACAAATATTATCCGCTAAAAAAAACACAAAATATAGATTGATGATCTTTCAAATCCCGTTACCATCATAGAGTAATCTTGGGTTGGTAATACGTACGCCTCGATCTTGTTTTGGTTTTCGGCTTTTTGCTTTAAATATCCGACAATTACGACGTCAAAATTACTCTTGCATTAAACAAAATGTCGTCATTTTTAAATATTTTTTTGGGAAAATTCCAGTTTTCATCGCTCAAGGTTGCACCGATTTCACATTTGGTTCCTCGTGTTTCAATAATTTAACACTTTTGGTCATTTCGTCAATTTACCGTTACTCCTTCAGTTAAGACAGTGATGCCATGGGCACACGCTTGATTTCATTAGTTCTAATGAAAAATTGACGGAAGTGACTAAAAGTGTTGAAGTTTTGAAACATGAGGGACCAAATATATTTTTTGTGAACATGTGGACCAAATGTGAAATCGGTGCAAATATGAGGGACCAAAACTGTATTTTGCCCTTTTTTTTTAAATTCAAAATGGCGTCAATTCTCTCTTTCCTTTCGATTCACATAAATCAACTGAGTCAACTCCACTCTCTTTCCTTAACACCGTTTGGTCTAAGATCTAAGATTACAAAAACGTCACCCCTCTAAGCTCTGACCTTTTTGTAATTTTCAGACCTTAGACCAAACGGTGTTAAGGTCAAAGGATTGAAAACTTGCAAATGCCACGTTCAGACAAATTTTTAATTACATGGGAGCAAATTGATGCAATCGAAAGTAGAAGGGGGTAAAGTGATAATGAAGCAAAGTATAAGGGGGAAAAGTGGAATTTACCCTATTTTATATTCATTAGTTCGTCTAACGAATACACAGTTGTCTTTAATCATAGACAATAACATACCCAACAATTAATTAATTTACTATTGTTAGACATAATTTAATTAGCTGCAGTGCATGATTAATCTTGGAAAAATTAGATATCTTCGCTATATCAGTTCCTATCTCACCTTTCATTCATCCAACACAAAAATTAAAAAGAAAAAAACAAATTTAAATTAAAAAAAAAACAAAGAAAAAACCACCAATCATGGGTTCTTTGGAAAATCCTACTCTTCCAATAATAGATTTCTCGGAGAAAAACTTGGAGCCCGGTTCACCATCTTGGTTCACCACCGCGGAAAAAGTCGTCCATGCCCTCGAAGACTACGGTTGCTTCATCGCAACCTATAGCAAATTCTCGCCGGAGATGCACCGATCCATTTTCGGCGTTTCCGAACAACTCTTCGATCTTCCGACGGACGTCAAAATCCTCAACACCTCCGGAACCCCGTCACACGGGTACGTCGGGCAAGAGCCCATAATCCCGTTGTACGAGGGTCTCGGTATCGAGAACGCAACAACTCACACTGGAGTCGAGACTTTCACGTCTCTCTTGTGGCCCTCCGGAAACCACCATTTCGGGTATTTCGCAATTTTTACTATTTTCCTTATATACGTATCTACTGAAGTTTTAATTGATTTCGTAAGGAATCAGCAGCCAACCATAAAAAGGGTAAAATGGTAATTTTAACACTAGAATTTATTTTTTTTTTTTTTTTTGTAATTTTCGCTTTTGTTTTGTTTTGTTGAAAAAGTGAAACTGCACTTGAATACTCGAGGCTAGTGGCGGAACTAGAGCAAGAGGTGATGAGAATGGTGTCCAAGAATTACGGAATTGAGGATAGCTACCAATCATTGGTCGGAGCAACCTCGTACCTTCTTCGGTTCATAAAATACCGAGCGCCGGGAAAAGACGAAACAGGTCTAGGTATCGTGCCTCACACCGACAAGAGCTTTATGTCCATTCTTCACCAACGCCAAGTGAAGGGCCTCCAAATTCAGACAAAAAATGGCGATTGGTTACTTGTCGATCCATCGCCTTCATATTTCGTAGTCATGGCGGGCGACGCTTGTATGGTATGTATATATGTATATACATGCAATCCCCTAATAAATACATATATATTACTTTTGTAATTTAATTCAGATTTTAATTTGGGGGTTATCAAATTAAATCAAAGTCATATACTTATGTGGGCCCCCCCACTCACACAGCAAACTGAACTGATGCTACATCAAGTGAAATACATCAGATAGTAGTGTCTGAATGTTCATCCATTAAAAAAACAAAATGCGTTGAGTGGATGAACGGTCGAACCAATCGAACCAACGTAACTCTTTTTTTTTAATTTTTTTATTTTTATTTTTATTTTTTATGTGTAGGCGTGGACTAACGGCAGGATTGAACCTTCGAAGCATCGTGTGATAATCGATGAGGGGAGTGAAGACAGATACTCGCTCGGGCTGTTTACGTTTATTAAGGATGTTAAAATACAAGTGCCCGAGGAGCTAGTTGACGACGATAATCCGTCGAGGTTTAAGCCGTTTGATCATTACAAATATATCCACTTCTATTACACTGAGGAGGGCAAGAGATCAAAGTGTCCTATTAAGGATTATTGTGGAATTTGAGATTTATATATAATTAATATGTTATTTTATTTTATGTTTAATTTGGTATGTTTTAATGTATTGATTTGATGGAGGGTGTTGTTATATTATTAATTTCGGGCAAATTATGTATTTATCTACCAGGCTTGAACTTGGAGTATGAACTGGTTGTATCTAATGTACGTATTGTATTATAATGATAATGAAAAGCTTGAAGTGTTATTTATGACATGTTATCTTTGGACCTAAAGCATGAATTTTGAGAATTTGAACTATCGGAAAAACATTTTTAAATCGAGCAATTATTTATAAATTTAAAAAGAAGTCAAAAACAATTTCTCGAATGTAAAATTTGTTCAGAAATTTTGGGTAAAATAAAGGGCTGGGAACAAAAATTAGGAAGAAATTGAGTACAAACGAGTGAAGAATGATGCACACCTTTTATACATAATCAAATGGGTATTTTGGTCTAAAATTTTCCAACGTCTAGTACAACGGTCAGTCAAGAATTAAAAAAGGACAACTTTTGTAACAGAGATGGACGACAGGGGTTGTTTTGTCACATTTCATAATATATGGTGTATATGCGACAGTGATGAAAGTACATGGGTGCAAACTATATGTACTGAACCCTATTTTATATTTTATGGGAAAAAATGCACTTCACCCCCTATAAATTTCACATTATTGCACTTTCCCCCCTAAAAATTCAAAAAATGGATACTTCCCCTGCAAAATACTATTTTGGTTGCACATTGCCCCAGAAGCCAATTTTTGGAGGGCATTGTGCGACAAACATATTATTTTAAAGGGACACCGTGGAAAAAATAGTGTTATTAAGGAGCAACATGTAACAAAAATAACATTTATAAGGGCAACGTGCACAAAAATACTCACTTCCGATGAATAATCCATCAGAGTTTTGTTGTAGGGGCAATGTGCAACAAAAATAACATTTTGAAGAGGGGCATTCACTTTTAAAATTTTTGAGAGGATAAAGTGCAAAAAATAGAAATTTACAGGGGGTACGGTGATATGCAATTTGCCCTATTTTATATACTAGTAAGTGACACGTGCGTTGCACGTGGTTCATGATCTTCATTAATTATTTATATATTTATTAATTAATAATTTATTCGATTAAAATTAATAGCGGTACTATAAAAAATATTTAATAAAATTATAAATACTGAAGCTTATTCCACTAACACTATATATATAATTAAAAATTGTACAATTTCGATTTTATTTTTTGAATGTAAATTTTGTTGTCATATTATTTTGCTTGATCTTGAGTTGGCACATAGTTCCAAAGAAAAATAAATAAAACAAATCTTTATATTTGTTCTTGAATTTGCATAAGTGATTTCTCTTCGTAACATAAAGTTATATATTATTGTAATATTTATTATTCTTCCTCTTCGAACTAACCAACTTTTGTTTACACTCGTATTTGGAAATTCTAGCATCGTCATTTATTTAAGCGATTTGCATTATTTAGTCAAAATAATTTTATACGATCAATTATTTTTATTTCTATTTGTTTTTATTTAACATGGTGATTTATCTAAAAACTAAATTAGAAACAATTAGAGACAAAATCAATTATACCCTCTCTGTGCAAAAATCGTTATGAATACACTGCAGATACACATACACGTACACATATTACAAGAATAACAAAATGAACTTATATTAGGCATACATTTACAATTGAGATGTTATTACTTATTAGTCTTTATTTAAATCCCTTTATTACATGGATTATAAATTATTTTTCAAGTTTTTCTTTAAATAACAGAAAATTAATTTTATGAATAAATAATTAGATGAGTCTACTTCAAAAATAATTATCCAAAAGAAATTATGAAAGTATGATTAAATGCAAGTAGTAACTGAACTGAGCCTTCAATTATTGACTCAATGTAAGAATTTCACTCAATCCTATAAGACTTGAATGGTAGTCACTTGAAGATTTGCTTTGAAATCGAACAATACACTCTACGAATGGAAGTTTTTAATTTGTTTACGCAATATTTTTTTTACGTCCCTATTTACATGAAATTTCAGTTAGTCCTATAAGACCTTCTTCTTCCCCTATATACGCTCTAAGTAGCCACTTAAATGGTAGTTTTATGAAAACCTCTCTAAGCGAAAGGTGTTCTTTTTGTACCCTTGAATCAAACAAAACACCATCATGTCGGTTACTGTATTCATGTTCATGCTAGCTAATTAATTTCTATTTGCTAATTGATTTGTATTTACTGAATTATTTTACAAACTTAATTCCAAGTGTATTTTGTCCATAAAAAAATAGAAGAAACCCCTCTCGACATTCTCGCTTTTATAAAACTAAAAAAAAATAATTATAAGGAAGTTGATGCCAATAAAATAACCTAAAGAAATTTTCAACAAAAAAAATAAAAATAAAGTAATGTTGAATGCAATAAATCTTTTTAAATAGACTATGGAATTTAAGATCCCCATCCCAGCAATATAAGAAACCAGTACTACAGATGGTTGCAACATAGAAATTAAGAGTCAAATTCAACTTGCATAATGCAATTTATTATCATCCAAGTCTTTTGTTTTAAAATAGATTATGGAATTTAAAATTCCTATCATCCCCAGCAACATCAGAAACCGGTAATATAGATGGTAGCAACATAGAAATTAAAAGTCGAATTCAACTTACAGTACGAAATTTATTATCATCCGAACTTTCTATTTATAATCTTCAACTAAATTTAATCCATTCGACCAAATGCTAGATATAATTTAGAAAAGTCTAGTAGAAAGTGATAGTGCATATCGATGATGTAAATAACTTTTTGAATGAGATATATTTGTCCAAACTTAAATTTAATGATTATAGAAGATGAAATTATATGTTCCACTTTAAGATGCATGAAGATATTTATCAATTACCGAGCGAAGATCTAAATACAACAGTTTAACAATTATTATTCTATCAAATGAATATAAACGAATGGAGCAAGAGGAAATAATGTTGCATCATTCTCCTTTTTATATATTTAATTGCTGACTGTCCAAATTCTTATCAATTCCTAAACGAAGTCAATTACTTTTATTCATGTCTGTATAATAATTAATCGTATTTATCTTTGATGATTGTCCAACTTCTAACCAATGTAACACTTACCCCTTAAAGTATCATTTAAAATATAATAATACCCTTAATATATATATCTCATTTTTTATTGGATAAAAATAATCGAAAAATGATGCTATAAATTTAATCAATTAAAAAGTCGATGTAATATATTTAAAATTTAAATATTATCTTTCCTCGATACAATAAATAACATAAAAACTAATTCTTATTCTTTATATAAAATTGAAAAGTAAATAAAATTAAATTATTAGACATATATTAAAAATATATATTTAGATATTATGAGTAATCAGATACTTGAAGAAATTAATGAATTAAAATATATTTAAATAATTAAGAATACAATTTATTATTCATTGATTTCTTGGAAAGCATTGATTTTTTTAATAATATTTTGCAATTATTATTTTTCAATATCTATATGTGTGTATATACAGTTCTTTATTAGTCTTTTTGTTCAATAATATAATGTTTAGTTTTTGGTAAATTTTATTTGGTCAATAAAAAATAGCTTATATGTTAGTACATCTATGTTACCAATGGAAGACAATATTTATTCAATTTTAACATATTATCTTTTTAATAAGATAATTGAATTATTTGCCAATTATTTTATATAATAATAATAATAATAATAATAATAATAATAATAATAATAATAATAATAATAATTATTATTATTATTATTATTATTATTATTATTATTATTATTATTATTATTATTATTATTATTATTATTATTATTATTATTATTATTATTATTATTATTATTATTATTATTATTATTATAAGGTAGAAGTTTATTTTTACCCTTGATGTGTCCTTTAGCTATTGGTTGTTTTAGAGGGTATTTTAGGACAACCAAAAAATGGAAGAAACCACCGTATTATTCCCACTTTTATTAGTAGTATAGATTAGTATCAGTTCTTTAAAATATGTAATTAATTTTGAAATGCGACAAGTCTTACTTAATTAGTAGACATGATTTATCACTAAAGACAAGTAATCATAATCATAATCATAATCATACTCAACTAGTCATTGACTCATTATAATCAATTCAAAAGTCTATTAATATATAGATTATATATGTTAATAACATCAAATATAAATTCTGGTAAATATTAATATATAGATTATATATGTTAATAACATCAAATCTCCTTATAAGTATGATGACAATATTACACAATCAGAAGCATTAATCTAAATTAAACCAAACCCCTGATCAAGAAATATAGTCAATCATTATACAATGGGTTCTCTTGATCAACAATCTAATAAGCTCCCCACAATAGAATTCAACCAAGAAAACATGACACCTGGCACAAATCCCTGGAAATCAACCTCGGATTTGGTCCGACAAGCCCTGGAAATGTACGGATGTTTTGTGGTATCCTACGAGAGCAACATCGGTTCGGAGCTGCACGCGAAGATTTTCGACGGCGGCCTGTCGGAGGAGCTGTTTGGTCTCCCACTTGAAACTAAAAAGAAGCACATTTCGAAATTCGCAGGTTTCGGTTACGGTGGGAATTATTCGGTTATGCCGCTCTTTGAATACTTTGGGATTGAAGATGTTGCAACTCTTGATGCTGCACAAAAATTCACCACCCTCATGTGGTCTCAGGGCCATGATAAATTCTGGTAAATATTAATTCTTCTTCATTTTTTATACATATATTTCACCCCTTTATACATATAGTGTATAGGGTAAATTACGGTCGCCCCCTCAGGTAAGGTCAAATTATGAAAAAAATCACGCATGTTTGGGTAATTAACCATCCCTCAACTATGAATCTTCTTACACGTCCACCGTTGTACTATCAAATTTAGTGGAATCTTCTTAATTATGTAAAATATTCTCTAGTTTGTACCTGTTTTACCCCATTCGAACTCCACATTTTGAACTAAGATGATCGTAAGATGTGTCTCTTGCCTTGTAAATATCAGATTGTGCTGCATCAGAAACTGCATTTTTGCACAAAACGAGTACAAACTAGAGAACATTTTACAGGATCTAGAAGATTATGTTGAATTTGATACCATAAGGATGAACGTGTAAAGATTCATAGTTGAGGGTGGTTGTAATTACCCAAACATGAGGGCTTTTTTTCGTAATTTGACTTCACCTCAGGGGGTTGCCGTAATTTACTATATATTCTATTCTGTAGATTTTTTTTAATATAAATAAAGTATATCATTAAATGGTCATTGAGACGCCACACCGCATCATCGGGTGATTTTTAACCATTGATGGGGTGAACTAGCCACCCACTAAGTACACATACACATGGATATGTGCAGATCAACGGTTTAATAATCACCCGATATATTTCACCGAAAGAGTGATTAATTACCTCACTACCACCTTAAGTTTTTAGATAAAATAGTTATTCAACGTGGTATGAAAGTCAACCCGGCCAAATGATGGTCTGGTCCTAGATTAGAATTCTATTTCCACCCGTAAAAAAAGATTTACGTGTAAGACTTTAAAAATGTAATACGCCTGTACGTGAAGGTGTATAAAATATGTTTGTTGATATGTTTGTATTTTTTACATAACTAACATTATTTCTCTCCATTTTACAGTGAGACAATATACTCGTACTGTAAATTGCTGTCGGAATTGAACAAAACGGTTGTTAAAATGGTGGCCGACAGCTACGGTTTGGAAAAATACTACGATCCGCTAATGGAGTCGTCGTTCTACATGACGCGGCTCATGAGGTACAACTCGCCGGGCGAGAACCAGTGCAGTATTGGTATTGTACCTCACAGGGACAAGAGCTTTATTACAGTAATCGGGACAAACGAAGTCAAAGGTTTGGAGATCGAAACTCGTGGTGGTGATTGGATTGATTATGAGCCATCTCTTGGAAAATTCATTGTCATTGCAGGTGAACCATTCATGGTGAGATTCCTCAATTTTAATTTTGAGTTTTTAGCACTAACCACCCCTGTTTAATCTCTAATTGCTGAAAATACCCCCATATTAAACAAATTAGTAAAGACCCCCTATAAAAGTTAGTCACATTCAACAAGGTCCCTGTGAGTTGATCGTGCAATACACTCTTAAAAAGACTTGAATACCCTTTTGATTAGAAATTTCATAAATAAGCACCAAAATGAAGTTTTCAGCATTTTTAATGCAGTCCCTTCTATTTTAAAAAATGCCTTCTTCTTCCTTAAGTCAGAGACTGATTTGCAATTTTTCCAAAAATAATTGAATATAGCTGACCGCTGCTCTCCTTCCGGCGAACATAGTATGATTTTTCGATTCTCGACGATATATACATGTATAAAATTAAATTTAATAACAAAAATGAATAGTAATAATTTGAAAACTTTTGGCAAGGCATGGAGCAATGGAAGAATATATAGCCCGCTCCACAAAGTCGTCGCTAAAGGAAGCAAGGAGAAACATTCCGTCGGAGTTTTCTCTTTCATCGGAGGTGTTCTGCAAGTGCCAGATGAGCTCGTCGACCATAATAATCCATTGAAATTCAAATCTTTCCGTCACTTGGAGTTCGTCGAGTATTGCAAGGAAGGTGGCGCCAAAATGGAAGGAGCCATCCAAAAATACTGTGGAATATAATTCATAATTTGACTGCAGTATGTATTATTGTTTTAAGTTACACTTTGGGTGTGTGTGATTTGTGTGAGCGGGTGAACTTTGTGCTTCCCTTTGTGTTTTCTGTGCTATACTTGCCGTGAAAAATGAATGCTTATCGTGTAGCTCGAAAAGTCAACTCCTACAAATTATATTAATGATCGCGTGGATAATGAAGATTTGTTTTTATGTCGAAGTTGAATTAACGGGGCCGTCAAGTATCCGATACACACCGAGTCTCCCGCTTCCGCGATCAATAATCATATTTTTTAATTCACAAAGATTTGGTTTTATTTGAAATTAAATTATCACCTAGATTATATCTAGTGATTAGGGAAACGTTAACAGCAATTCAGCTAATCACTTTCATAATTACAAAAAGTAAACTGCAATAAGTACCCCTGTATAATTTTAAAATATTATAAAACTCCCATTGATAAATAAACAAGCAAAATCCCTCATGTGATTTTTTTTAAATAACACACTTCCCATTGTGATTTTATTGGTTGACCAGAGGTAAGAGGACAAGTCTACCCTTGAATAAATAATATAAAATCAGAATAACATAAAATAGAACCATTTACTCTCCAACACTGGCGCTGTCGACGATGGTGATGAGCCACCTTTTTTGCCGTTCTTCTACTCACCACTGTCGCCGCCATTGTTGCTGCCGTCGTAGGAGATTATGCAGAGGTGAGGTGGAGATGAAGATGATTAATAGACGAGAGGAGATAGAGAGGAGAGGAGAGAGGGCTAATTGTGTCATTTTACATTTAGTCAATGGCACAATGCCCCCGACGCGAGATTGTGTGACTCAATCGCAATTTGTTCGACCCTACACTCGGTGATAAATACCGGGTGGGTCTTCTGCTGCCACGTGTCTCTTTTTTGTATTTTTTAATAGATTCCCCGCTAGGGTTTACCTATAGGGGTTTTAGAAAAATAAAAAAAGAACACATGGCAGCAGAAGACTCACCCGGTGTTTATCACCGAGTGTAGGGTCGAAGGAACCTATATAATCTTCTATAAAAAACAAAAAAGAAAAACAAAAAAAAAAAAGAAAAAACAAAAACAGATAATTTCTGAAAAGTCAACTTCTTCAAATTAAAGTAATGATCACATGAATAGTGCAAAATTATTATTTTACATACAATTGAATTATTCACGCCGAGTCTTCCGCTTCCAAGATCAATCATCATGCACATTATTCACAAATAACGTTAATTTTAAATTAAATTAAAGCTTTAGATTCATTCAATTCCATTTTGCACCCTTGAAATATAGTCTTTGACACTTTGCACCTTAAAAAATATTAATAACATTTTGCACCCTCAAAACATATTAAATTATGCGTAATGCACCCCAAATGAATTTTTAAAGTAAATTGATGTAATTTGATATTTTATTTGTGTTTTTTAGGATACAAAATTTCAAATCAATTTAATATTCCTCAATCCTTCGATAGGATCAAAACATTAAAAAAAGAAAATCACAAAAAAATATATTACAGCCAAACACAAAAGAACAAAAGAATAATCTGTCAGCTATTTTGTTATTAAGTTATTTGAAAATTATACATATTCTTTCATTTAATTTATTATTTTGCATCCTGACAAAAAAAAACCAATAATTTTTTTTTTATCCTCATTGAGTTTTAAATCTTCAATTCATGGTTCTGAATGATTTATTGCTTTTCGAAAACGTAAAGTGCTATCAATATTTTTTCCAGTGATACATAGTGTCAAAATGTTACATTTCAAGGTGCAAAGTGGAATTAAATGATTTAAATCTAGTACTGAAACGTTGACAATTAATAATTCTTGTTTTTTTCAATAAATACCTCAACTAAAACTTGGAAAACTTACAAAACAAAAACCCCATCATTTCCAAGAGAGGGAGAGAATTTCCAAGAGAGATCTAGAGAGAGAGAGAGAGATATCTAGAGAGAGAGAGAGAGAATGGGATCTGAAAGTAGGATGAAGCTCCCTGTAATAGATTTCTCCAATCTTAAACAAGAAACAGCAACGTGGGAATCAGTGAAAACCCAAGTGAGCGAAGCCCTAGCAGAATATGGTTGCTTTGAGGCCATATTTTCAAACCCAAAATATTCACTTGTTAATGTGCTTCAACAACTATTCGATCTCCCTCTACAGACAAAACTACTCAATAAGTCAAACACAACTTACCATGGCTACATCGGACAACATGCAGTTGTTCCGCTGTACGAAAGCTTGGGAATCAGTGATGCCTTGGTACCCGGAAACATCGAAGCCTTCGTCGAACTAATGTGGTCCCATAACGGAAATCCGACTTTTTGGTACGCTACACTTCTTCATCATCCAATTAATATGCTACATTATTTCCTTCTCGTATGAATTCAATAACTAGATCTAGCTAGTTTAATTTAATTGCGTGTGCATATATATATATATATATATATATATATATATATATATATATATATATATATATATATTCCCATGATCGTTTCAATAATTATAAAATGAGCTCTGGACGGGTTTGGGTAGGTGGTGGTTAGATGTTACGCTTGATTATTTATATCGGGTGGATTTGAACCTATATGTGATTAAATAATTACTCACCTAGCACACATACACAGGAGCAGATCCAGAGAGTTTTTGTTAGGGGGGGGGGGGGTGTGATTTACGGTTTACGGGAGTTCGGGGTAGTGCCCCCGTTTTTTTTTGAATTACTTTAGAAAGCAAAAATAATTCTAAAGTTTAGTTAATATAATACAAGCATATATATATATATATAATTATATATCATCATTAAAACTCCTTCAATTTAAAAATCATGCATTATAAGTGGGTATTTTACACCCTGCAATTATACTCATTTGTCATTTTGCACCCTCAAATTAAAAATGTGACAGATTGCGTTACCTGCCATATAGTGCACCCCATAATCTAATATAGTAGAATAAAAAGATTTTAGGGAACTGAAAGGGTAAATTTGTGGATAAATTAACTACCATCCTTTTTAATTACAGAATATATTTATATTTTTTCTCTTTCACGGATTTAATTAACAATAGTTGACCATTTTGCCCATTGAATTATGGTAAAATAATTTTTTCGTACGCAAATTTTAGCAGAAAAGTGTCTTGAGGTACAATGTGCCAAGCAAATCTTAATTTGAGGGTGCTATCGACCATATTTTTAATGTAAGGGTGCAAAGTGCCAAATAAGCATAATTGGAGGGTGCAAATGCCAATTACCCAATCAAAAACTAATAAAAATAAATCATTTTTTTCTTCTGGAGGGGCGGCTGCCTCCCTTGGGGTGCCTTTAGTTACGCCCCTGCATACACATGAGTGTGTGATTGTGTATAGAACTACGGTTCATGGCTAATAACATGTTAGGTTAATATACTATATATAACTAATCTAACAATTACATCTTGTGCGGTATCGATTTAGTCCTTTTTTCTTTTTCTTTTTTCTTTTGAGATTTTTTATCTTTGTTTATTGACCAGCGAGAGCGTAAGATCGATTTCGGAGGAGTTACTCGAATTGAACAAGATTGTGAGGACAATGGTGTTAGAGAATAATGGAATAAAAAAGTACTTGGACGAGCATATTGATTCGACTAACTATGTGGTACGATTTCAAAAGTACGATGGTCCTAAAACAAACGAGACTGAGCTTGGACTCGTACCCCACATAGATATGAACACCCTCACCATATTATTTCAAGATGACGTCACCGGATTGGAAATGCAGAAAAAAGATGGAGATGATTGGATTGAGACCTCACCTAATTCTTTTATTGTCATGGCGGGTGAATCTCTCCGGGTAAGTTATTTTTTCGCTACATTATTTCACCTAATTAACTGAATAAGTCAATTTAATTTCATAAATACTTAGGTGGTGTTCGCAATTTACCGTAATATATATATAGTAAATTACACCCACACCCCTGAGATATGTTTACATAACTTTAAGGTCCCTGTGTTATCGATAATTATACTCACCCTCCTGAAGCATAGTTAGAAACTTTACTGGGAGAATGCATTGGATACGTTATTCCGATATAGTTCTAACAGACTATTAATTAGTTTCAGGAAGTGGTGGAGACAACAAACAACTATATTGGATAATTTAAGAAATGTTGGGAGAGCCATGTCACCCCCTAACTTTATGTTGTGCCCGCCACTAGCTAAAAGTAATAGTCCATTCATTAGAGTTTCTAACTCTGTTTCAGGGGGTGAGTGTAATTATCGATACCATAGGGACCTAAAGAATACCTCATTGGTGTGGGAGTAATTTACCATATATATATATATATATATATATATATATATATATATATGGCAACCTAACCTATATATGTATTAATTGGCGCAGGCGTGGACAAATGGTCGGGTGCATGCTCCTTTTCACAGGGTGATGATGACCGGAGACAAAGCTAGATACTCGATCGGACTATTTGCCGTTCCAAAATCGGGATACATAGTTACGGCTCCAAAAGAGATGGTGGATGAAGAGCACCCCTTACTCTACAAACCCTACGATTACGTTGAGTTTCTTAATTATTACTACGGTGAAGCTAGTAAGACTTCTCCCAACGCTCTAAAGGATTATTGTGGAGTCGTCTGATAATATAATGAATTCAAAGCTCGAAAATTTGTTTTCGGAACAATAATGTATTTCGTATTTGCGAATAAGCATATATTTCAGTTCATGCATGGTGTGTTTATGTTTAATTTCATCATGAGCATGAGATTCTATGTTATGTTACCCGAGATTCGTAATCATTTATGTTTGTATTGTATTATTAAGGTGTTGTATGAATTTCTGAACTTTCTAATATTTTAAAAGTTATAATAATAGTCATTCAGTTTTTGGTAATTAGACATACCTCAGGGGGTTTCGTGTAATTAACATTTTTTTGTATTTCTATTTATCTTAAGGGTATAAATAGACCTTTTCAGTTTTCACAGTTTTGTGTCAAAAGATATGGTTTAACCGTTAGTTGGAGTGGTTTTTGGTAATTAGACCTTAGTTCATGGGGCTTTCGGTAATTTACGCTAATTTTTATTTTCTATCAACTTTAAATATTACCATGAGGAACAAAGCTCTGATCTGTGAACTTTATTTTCATACACAATATTCTCAAGTCTCAACCTTTTTACACTGCCGTTCGTTTTTTCTTCACCGCCTTCATGGCACACTGATCATTGGGACTGTGTTCTGGGATCTCGGCTCTAACAGTAAATTAGATGATTCATGTCGTTCCAATTCCGTTCCTATTTATCGCATTGTCCCGGCTTTCTGGCAGCTTTTTTCCCGTTTCTCAACGTTCTTTGCTGTGGAATGGTTGTTACGAAGTCCGCAATGGAGAGGGCCGTTCCCGTTCTGTTCCGACCGTTCCGGTGAACCATGAATTATAACTACTCTTATTAATCTTGATTTGGTTTATATTATTAGAAGAGTAAACTGCAAAAACTACCCCTGTGTAATCTCGAAATAATGAGAAATCCCCTGTGATAAATAAAATAGTAAAAAAAAAACCCCTTAAATTTATTAAATAGCAAAGAACATTTTTCAAAAATCGAAAATTACATTCCAGTTCCCAACTTCAAAGTACACTACTCGGACACAAGTAAACTGCATAACAATTGGTTTTTAAGAAGTGAGTGGTGGGCTAGCTACCCAGTGTCGGCTCCGCCACTATCTCCAGTATGATTTTTTTCGATTCTCGACGATATATACATATATAGAACACAATATAACCCACTACACATAGTCGTCGCTAAAGGAAGCAAGGCGAAACATTCCGTCGGAGTTTTCTCTTTCATTGGCGGTGTTCTGCAAGTGCCGAAAGAGCTTGTCGACCATAATAATCCATTAAAATTCAAATCTTTCCGTCATTTGGAGTTCGTCGAGTATTGCAAGGAAGGTGGCGCCAAAATGGAAGGAGCCATCCAAAAATAGTGTGGAATATAATTTAATTTGACCGCAAATTGTATTACGTGTCGCAATATTTGAACTTACATTTGTGTTTCTGTGCTATACTTGCCGTGAAAAATGAATGCTTATCACGTAGTTCGGGAAATCAACTCCTACAAATTATATTAATGATCGCGTGGATAATGATTTTTTTTTTATTTATGTCAAAGTTGAATTAACGGGGCCGTCAAGTATCCGATACACTAACCGAGTCTCCTGCTTCCGCGATCAATAATCATATTCTTTAATTCACAGAGACATGATTTTATTTTGAATTAAATTATCACTCAGATTAGATCTAGTGATTAGTGAAACGTTAACCAACAATTCAGCTAATAACTTTCATAGTTACAAAGCGTAAGTTGCAATAAGTATTCGTATTTAATATATTTTGTATTTTTTCTTCTTTTTTTTGTGAAAATTAAATTTTATTCAATTTATTTTTGTTACACTAAGTATTACTAAAAAAAATAATTATAAATAATACTTAAATTTTTTAATTTATTTCTAGCCCTAAAACAATTTTAAATTTCAATTTTGCCCCCAAAATGGTATTTTCAGTTAGATGTAAATGGACATGTGACGGAGGGGACCAATGTGTTTAAAATTAAATCTTGAAGGTGAAATTTGTTCACTTTGAAACAAGAGGACCGAAAGTAGAATCGAGCCAAATATGAGGGGTGAAAAATGTAATTCTCCCTAAGCAGGCTGTGTCAACGTTTCTCAATTTCAATTGCACCAAATATTAGGCCGGGCTATATCTTTATTCAATTTTTATCTACAGCTAAAAGCCCTACTTCTCTAACAATTTAATGTTTAAAGCTATTGTTAGGCAGAAATGATAAGCGGTTTGTACACGTAACGTAATTTTACATCCATGCGCATTCATTCACCGGTAGGCTGGTAATTTGACCTTACCTGAGGGGATTTCGTAATTTACCAAAAAAAAATGATTCAATTTGATTTGGTTACACGGCAATCGACATCATCCCGTAAAAGGTGAAGTACAACAGATGAAGTACCTGGATGAACATTAACAACAAGAATTTTGTTGTTGTCCATTCGAATCCAATCGTCGGATAAACAATTAGTCCGGAAACCGTAGATTGCACATAAATATACGGAAACTCAATCGCAACCAACAAACAGAGACATGCGTGAAAATACTAATGGGTTAATTTGTAATAATGAGTAATTTGCAATAAGTACCCCTGTATAATCTCAAAATAGTATAAAACCCCCTATGATAAATAAACTAGCAAAATCCTTCCTGTGGTTTTCTTTTAAAATAACACACTTGACCCATTGTGATTTTATTCATTGACGAAAGGTAAGAGGACAAGTCTACCCCTGAATAAAATAATATAAAATCAGAATTACATAAAATAGAGGCCAATTTGAATCCAAAAAACAAATAGGGCCAAATTATAATTTATGATAAATTTTATAAACTTAACTTAATTGCAAATTGTCCCCAAAAAACACACGCCGCCCACATCATGTAACCATTTAATGAGCCACCCTATACCAATTAAGATATTCAATTAATTGCTAAAAAATATACTCTTTCTAAGGGGTGTTATAATATTAAAAAATAACAAAACATTTAATTTTTCAGTGATATGAGACCATAAATAATCGTCTAAAACAATAAAATAAGAAAACCCAAATAATTTCTGAAAAGTCAACTTCTTCAAATTAAATTAATGATCACGTGAATAGTGCAAATTTATTTTGGGTAGATTACGAGAGCCCTCCTGGACCTAGGCTAAATAGTTGGAAACACATCCACCTATTCGCAATTACCAAAAATTCTCTAAAGTTTGTCATTGTTCTACACCAACTTCCTTATAATGTGACTTTTCACGGAATTTTTTTAATTCCAGGGAACAGAGTCAACAGACTATACACAATTTGATATATTTTCTTTTATTTCTCACCTATTTATCATAAGGTATAATAGACCGTACATATTTTCTGTTAAAAAACTTTATTAACAGTTAATCAGAGGGATATTTTGGTTATTACGGATAGGTGGGGTATTTTTCATTATTTAGCCTAAGTTCAAGGGTGCAAAGTGAAATAAGCGAGTTTAGATATGCTGAAACGCTAACAATTCATAAATTCTTCTTTGGGAAAAATACAGTTTTCATCCCTCAAGTTTGCACCGATTTCACATTTGGTCTCCCATGTTCACAAAAAACACATTTAGTCCCTTATTGTTCACAAATTCAATATTTTTAGTCCTTTCCGTCAAGCTCCCGTAAAACTAATGGAATCAAGTATGTGTTCCATCACTGCCATAACTAACGGACTAACTGTAAATTGACGGAAATAACCAAAAATATTAAATTGTAGGAACATGAGGGATTAAATGTGTTTTTTGTGAACATAGAAGACCAACTGTGAAATTTGTGCAACCTTGAAGGATGAAAACTGCAATTTCCTCATTATTTTTTCAATAAATACCTCAACCAAAACTTGGAAACTACAAAACAAAACCCCCCATCATTTCCGAGAGAGAGAGAGAGAGAGAGAGAGAGAGAGAGAGAGTGGGTTCTGAAAGTAGGATGAAGCTCCCTGTAATAGATTTCTCCAACCTTAAACAAGAAACAGAAACCTGGGAATCAGTGAAAACCCAAGTGAGTGAAGCCCTAGCAGAATATGGTTGCTTTGAGGCCATTTTTTCAAACCGAAAATATTCACTAGTTAATGTGCTTCAACAACTATTCGATCTCCCTCTACAGACCAAACTACTCAATAAGTCGGACACAACTTACCATGGCTACATTGGACAAGATGCAGTTGTTCCGCTGTACGAAAGCTTAGCAATCAACGATGCCTTAGTACCCGGAAACATCGAAGCCTTTGCCGAACTAATGTGGTCCGATAACGGAAATCCGACTTTTTGGTACGCTTCTTCATCATCATCCCATTAATAACCACCTACAGTTGAACCTCGAAAAATTAATAATCTCGCTTAAATAATAGTTTCTTCTGGTTCAGATTCGGTAATAACCTACTAAATTATTAGTTCGATAATTTAATATTTCGCTAAATTAATAGAATTTTGTTAGTCCCGACTGTATTAATTTATAGAGGTTTAACTGTACTTTATTTCCTTCTCCTATTAATTCAATAACTAGCTCTAGCTGGTTTAATTTAATTGTGTGTGGCAGTGTGCTATATTCCATGATCGCTTAAATAATTACATAAAACGAATTACATAATACATTCAGTAAGTTAGATGTTACAACTGATTATTTACATCAAGTGGATTTGAACCTTCTATGTGATTAGATAACTACTCACTAAGCACATAACACACGGCCCAATTCACGGAGTTTTTGTTGGGGGGCTGGGGTTCGGAGGCAATGCCCTTGATTTTTTTTTTAATTACTTTAGGAAGCAAAAATAATTCTAAAGGTTACTTAATAATACAAGCATATATTATGCTTGTACAAGCATATATTATCACACACACTTATGAGTGTGTGTGATTGTGTACAGATGTACGGTTCAAACTAATCGGTCGGGGCTAATTTAATAACATGTTTGGTTAATATACTATAACTAATTAATTGAACAATTACATCTTGTACGGTATCTATTTAGCCCTTTTTCTTTCTTTTTCTTTTGATATTTTTTTATCTTGGTTTATTGACAAGCGAGAGCATAAGATCGATTTCGGAGGAGTTACTCGAATTGAACAAGATTGTGAGGACAATGGTGTTAGAGAATATTGGAATAAAAAAGTACTTGGACGAGCATATTGATTCGACTAACTATGTGGTACGAGTTCAAAAATACGATGGTCCTAAAACGAACGAGACTGAGCTTGGACTCATACCCCACATAGATATGAATACCCTCACCATATTATTTCAAGACGACGTCACCGGGTTGGAAATGCAGACAAAAGATGGGGATAATTGGATTGAGACCTCGCCTAATTCTTTTATTGTCATGGCGGGTGAATCTCTTCGTGTAAGTTCTTTTTTCACATCACAATTTACTGTTAATTAATTTATTTTTTGTAAGGTTTAGGTTACATATATATATGTTGGCGCAGGCGTGGACAAATGGTCGGGTGCATGCTCCTTTTCACAGGGTGATGATGACCGGAGACAAAGCTAGATACTCGATCGGACTATTTGCCTCTCCGAAATCGGGATACATAGTTAAGGCACCAAAAGAGATGGTGGATGAAGAGCACCCTTTACTCTACAAGCCCTACGATTACGTTCAATTTCTTAATTTTTACTACGTTGAAGCCACTAAAACTTCTCCCAACGCTCTAAAGGATCATTGTGGGGTCGTTGTCTGATAATATAAGGAATTAAAATCTCGAGAATTTGTTTCCGAAACAATAATGTATTTCGTATTCGCGAATAAGCATATATATCAGTTTATGCATGGTCCGTTTATGTTTAATTTCATCATGAGATTCTCCGTTATATTACCCGAGATTTGTAAACATTTATGTTTGTATTTTGTTAATAAGGTGTTATCATGAATTTCTGAACTTTCTATTGCAAAAGTTATAATAATATGAGTAAATTACAACCCCTTATTTGTTAGGAATTACATCCAGCCCTTGCAGTTTGTAAATTTTTTACATCTTTACCCCTACAAAAGGGTGTTAATGTAAGAAATCTACAAATTGCAGGGAGGTGGATATAATTATGAAAAATAATGGGCTTTCTTGTAAATAATTTTCATTCTTTTTTTTTTCTTTCTTTCTTTCTTTTTCTCTACCATTTTTCTCGGTACACGTGAAGCAGGCTATTGCGATGCTACACCTAGTGATAATCACCGGATGTCTAAGAGCATCCACAATGTTATTGACCCTAAACAAGGACCCAAATGCAATAACCGCCAATTTGATGGTAGAAATCAAATTTTTCTTTAATTCCAATTTCCAACTGAGTTATTAAAACATGCCCCATTTTGGGGTCCGCTCTCTTTGACAAATATAGGGTCCGAAAAATGGGGAATCAAAATTTGGAGGGAGCTCTCCATCTATTGCAACCAACGGCTCTTTTTTTTTCTTTTTTTTTTCTGCAGCAATAACGGTAACTTAAAATGGGCTTCTGATTTAACATTTTGCCAGAAAAATAAAAGAATGGAATTTTTTTGGTAATTAGACATACCTCAGAGGGTTTGTGTAATTTACGATTTTTCGTATTTCTATTTAACTTAAGGGTACGTTCTTTGCCATGGAACCGGTTTTGTTACGGAATCCGGAACAGAGAGGGCGTTCCCGTTCTGTTCGGTGAACCATGAAATATAACTACTCTTATTAATCTTGATTTTGGTTTATATTTGCAAGAGTAAACTGCAAAAATTACCCCAGTTTAATCTCGAAATAATGAAAAAACCCCTATGATAAATAAAATAGGAAGAACCCCCCTCTGAAATTTAGTCAATGCCACCTGACGCGAGATCGTGTGGCTCAATCGCAATTTGTGCAACTGGTGTTGGATTTTTTTTGATGTAAAATGACACAATTCTTGTTGTTTATGTTCATCAGGTACTTCAGTCCGTTGTACTTCACCTTTTACGGAATGATTCGATAATCGCCGGTTTCTTTATCACTCTACGGACTCTTTTCTCCAGCTTCATCATTCCACACCCCGTAAGTTCAACAAAAAAAGGTTAAAAAAAAAAAAAAAAAAAAAAAAAAAAGACAAATTGAATCATTTTGTTTTGGTAAATTACGAAACCCCCTCAGCTAAGGTCAAATTACCAGCCTACCGGTGAACGTGCATGGATGTAAAATTACGTTGCGTGTACAAACCGCTTCTCATTTCTGCCTAACAATAGCTTTAGACATTAAATTGTTAGATAAATAGGGCTTTTAGTTGTAGCTAAAAATTGAATAAAGATATAACCCGGCCTAATATTTGGTGCAATTGAAATTGAGAAACGTTGACACTGCCTGCAGCTTACTACTACATAAGTAACAAAAAGGCAATTCATATTCATTCTCTATAAATATATGTGTATATTAATATTTAAAATATATATAAAAGAAAAAAAAATGGGTTCCGAAATTATCAAGCTCCCTGTAATAGATTTCTCCAACCTTAAACAAGAAACAGAAACCTGGGAATTCGTGAAGGCCAAAGTTCGCGAAGCCCTGGAAGAATATGGCTGCTTTGAGGCCATATTACCCGACCGAAAAATTCCTCTTAATCTCCGAAAATCAATATTTGATGGGTTAAGTCAACTCTTTGATCTACCTTTAGAGACCAAACAGCGTAACATGTCCGATAAGCACACGGACGGCTACCGAGGACAATACAAGAATTATCCGCTATTCGAAAGCTTGGGAATTCATCATCCGCTTATCCCTGGAAAGCTCCAATCTTTCGCCAACCTCATGTGGACCCAAGGAAATCCCACTTTTAGGTATATAACATATATACTGTCCCGTTTCATATTAAGTGTCACTTTAGAATTTCAAGGCATAATTAATTTTGTTTTCCCGATCTTGCCCTTTATCATTGATTTGTGTTCAAACTCATTAATTTAGATATTAAAATCATTTATTAGTTTTGTGAAGGGCAATTAAGGGTTTTCCATAAAAAATGAGTATATTTATTAGGTTTTTTAATGTGTGTGCGCTTGTGAAGTATTTCGTGATCCATTGATCCCATTTTTAGATTTACTTTTAATTGTTCTTCATAATTTTTTTTTTCTCAGCAAGAGTGTAGAATCGATATGTGAGGAACTTTTCGAATTGGACAAAAATGTGAGGAGAATGGTGTTGGAGAGTGTCGGTCTCGAATAATACATGGATGAGCACATGGATTCGACATACTATCTCGTTCGGTATCAGAAGTACGATGCGCCTCAAACAAACGAAACCGAGGTTGCTTTGCCACGACATACGGATAAGAATATCATTACCATATTGTACGAGAACGGGGTTAATGGATTGGAAGTGATGACGGAAAATGGAGAGTGGATCGCCTTTAAGCCCTCAACACCCAATTCTTGCATTGTAATGGCTGGTGAAGCTTTCCATGTAAGCAGAGATTTTTTTTGTTTTTGCTCCATTTTAATTGTCACTTTAGAATTTTAATACTGCATTAATCACGTAATTTTTCTAATTCTAGCCTTATTAGCTGTCTCCAATATTCTCTCTTTTACTGGTGGACAGGGGTATTTTAGTCTAAAATGTATATTTCCCTAAATTCAAGTCACATTTATTGAGTTTCTTAATACATGTGCAAAAGTGTTAAAACGGCTGATATTGTGGAATAGAGAGAGTATACTTTAATTAGCCAAGTTATCTAATTTGTGCCGGCATGGACAAATGGGTGATTGCGCTCTGCCGGTCACAAGGTGGTGATGGCCGGAGAAAAGGCAAGATATTCGGTCGGATTATTTTTCGTTCCGAAATCGGACTACTTAATTAAGGCACCGGAAGAGGCGGTGGATGAAGAGCACCCTTTACTCTACAAGCCATTTCTTCTTCCTCGGTTTCTTGAATTTAGCTACGCTCAAGATCCCGTTTCGCTTCTCAAAATTCTTTAAAGGCTTATTGTGGACTCTAATTGTAAACCTCTTGAAATTTGCACTGATTTCACATTTGGTCCCCCATGTTCACAAAAAACACATATAGTCCCTTATGTTTCAAAAATTCAACAATTTTAGTTTTTTCCGTCAATAATCTCCCGTTAAAACTAATGGAATCAAGTGTGTGCCCATCACTACCTTAACTAACGGACTAACCGTAAATTAACGGAAATAGCAAAAAGTGTTCAATTATTGGAACATGAGGGACCAAATGAGTTTTTTTTAACATGGGAACTAAATGTGAAATCAGTATGTCTTCTTTATAGTTTCTTGAAAAGAATGCGAAGGATATAATAAAGGGTAAATTCCATTTTACCACCCTAATGTATTTTTAATTGTATAATTACGCTCACTTCTACTCGTAAAATTGTTTCGATAGATGATTCGGGTCAACTTATAATTTTCTAGAATTTAATGCCGTTAATTTTACAATACAATTACCAAAATACCCATACTCAAAACATATAGTGTTTATCCCCAAACCTTTTTGCCCATCTCTCAACATAAAGGTAAGGGTATTTAAGTTTATTCTCTATTCGCACCGAACAGTTTGGTTTGTTTTGGATGTAATAATAACAAAATTGACATAGACCACATCAATTGAAGCAATTTTACGAGTATAGGAGGCCATACTGAAACAATTAAGAATCCAAGGGGTAAACTGTAAAGTGGGGACCGAACTAGTAGAGGGGGTAAATTGCAATTTACCGTAAAATTAGTCTCATATTGTAGATAAGGAAATTGGAAGATTCAAAGTTCAAACAGTTGAATAGTTGAACAAAATCAACTAGCAAAAGACAACTCATGCTCTATAGAAATACCAAATACCATTTTCAACTTCATTTTCTAGAGAGAGAAAGTAAAGATATATTAATTCCAAACAAATGGCTAATAGAACCATATTGAAGCTCCCTCTAATAGATTTCTCCAACCTCAAACAAGAACCACAAGCATGGGAATCCACGAAAACCCGAGTCAGAAAAGCCCTCGAAGAATACGGTTGCTTCGAGGCCAAATTCGACGAAATTCCTCTTCATCTTCGGAAATCGATATTCGATGCACTAAAACAACTATTCGATCTCCCTCTAGAGAACAAACTCCTCAACACTTCCAACAAACCATACCATGCTTACCTAGGCCAAGATGCCATGGTTCCACTTTACGAAAGCATGGGAATCGACAACGCCCTCGCCCCCGAAAGCATTGAAACTTTCTCCAATCTCATGTGGGCCCATGGAAATCCCACTTTTAGGTATATGTATATATATTTATATCTATATTTTTTTAATGCATCTCATTAAATGTTTTTCTTGATTTTGATCGATCATGGTTATATAATTTGCAGCCAAATTGTGGAGTCGTATGTGGAGAAATTGTCGGAATTGGACAAGATTGTGAGGAGAATGGTTGTGGAGAGCTTCGGGCTCGAAAAATACATGGACGAGCATATGGAATCCACGAATTACGTTATTCGAGTTCAAAAGTACGATGCCCCTAAAAGCCATGAAAATAACAATAATAATGTGCTTGGATTCCCATCCCATACAGACAAGAACATCGTCAGCATATTGTTTCAGAACGAGGTAAACGGACTCGAAATGCAGACGAAAACTGGACATTGGATCACTAAGGATCAACTCTCGCCCAATTCCTTCGTAGTCATGATTGGTGAATCTCTCCATGTAAGTTCTTCCAAATTCCTTCTTTTTTTTTACTATAGAGTTAATTGCATAGACCCCCCTGTGTTATTTCTCGGAAGCAAAAAACCCCCCCGGAAAAATAAATTAGCATATAACCCCCTATGTTGTGTTTTAGTCAGCCCACCGCCCCTTTGTGTGCACTGGCTCGTTGACTTACATGCACTGCCGTCTGGATAGCTTTTTGTCTCCTTTTTCTTTTTTTTTTTTTTTTTTTTTTTTTTTTTTTTTC